GCAGGGCAAATCCATTACGCTAAGAAATAACTTTTTTCATAAATTACAGAACAAACAAATCTTTAAAACAACAATTCGTTAAGTCTTTTCTTCACTTTTTTCCCCCCTAAAATTGCTTTGATAACATAATATTATAGTACCTCATCTTTTAATAATGTTTTACTATTAATCTCCAGATAGGAATTCTATTTCATACATGTAGGTTATCTGGTAACAGAACAGAATTTAGTACACTTTACAAAAATTTTAACATGTCTTAAAAATGTTCACATTTTTAAAAGAATGCACACAAAAATATTGTTTACTTTTCAGTTAATACAAATAAATTAGAAACCTAACAACATATTTATTTGAATCATACTTATAATTCATAAAATAATAGTACTGCATTTCTATTTCATTTTTTTTCCAAGTAATTTCTTCATTTACATTTTAACAATTTATATAACCACAATAATTTTGTTTAATATAAACTAAGTACAGCAAGTAAAAACTTTCAAAAAATCTACAACTTGACTACAATACACGGTTTAAATATAAATTAATAACTTATAAATACTGACAGAGTGAAGGGGGGTAGGGTAAAACAAATGGCAAAAACCTTGGCCAGCAAGGATCACCAAGAATAATAGGGGTGTACATATATAAATTCAGGACAAGATGACTCTTACAAAAAAAAAGGATAAAAAAAAGAATTATGTCCTTAAGTCTACTCACAGGCAGATAAATCCAGCTTCTCATTTCAAAAGATATTCTTACATGTTATGAAACAGAATCTGTTATACATGTATATCAATTTGTGTTTAAAGACCACCTCTGAATAAAGACCACCCTGTCAATAAAGGCCACTCTTCCCCAACCCTTCATTGATTAAATAGAAGAAAGTAACCTCTAAATGAGCCGTGTCATGACAAAACCAACATAGTGCGTTTGCGACCAGCATGGATCCAGACCAGCCTGCGCATCCGCGCAGTCTGATCAGGATCCATGCTGTTTGCTATCAGTTTCTCTACTTGTAATAGGGTTTGTAAGCGAACAGCATGGATCCTGATCAGACTGCGCGGATGCTCAGGCTGGTCTGGATCCATGCTGGTCGCAAACCCATTATGTAGGTTTTGTCATGACGCGGCTCAAATAAAGACCACTTGTCTATAAAGGTCATATGCAGTATGTCCTTTGGTCACAGGTTTGACTGTATATATGGTATGGTGATAACGATTTCTTTCTTTCTTTTTTCAACTTAAATATATGATAATATAGTAAGTGGTCTGTCAAGAACTACATACTGTCACTAGAGCGGCTGTCAAGATCTTGTAGCTATGACCTGCTGTCAAAAACTGATTGCAAAAGCCTGACAATCCCTATATGTACATAATACATGTACCTTAGCCTTTACGATGAAGAATTTCGTGAACAAATTTGTTCAACTTCCATTTATAAACAGTCTAAATAAGGAATGCTGGCTAGCAATCATTTAAATATTGTCAATTTAATACAAATAGAAAACTGGAATCCCTAAAAACCGCTCAAAACGACAAAATTGAAAATGTTGCTGGCTCGGTTTGATTGAGCCTGTTTATGGACAGTACTGGAAAGTGCAAGTTTCCTACGCAGTTGTGTTCAACACATAACTGGTAATATGAATTTGTAGTTTTATAATAAACACACTTCAATCACATTTCACTAGTACTTAATGCGTTCTTTTCATAATTAGAATAATGACTAAATTTATCTGCCCATGATAAGTGTAAGGAATACGAAGATTGGCAAAATAATTTGTCGAACTTATTACATTAATAAAGAAACAGAACCGGAAACAGTTTTAGCAACTGTTTAGTAACATCTGAAATATTACTTTGACAAAAGTGAATTCACAACTCCAATGGTAGAGGCCCAGAGAGGGTGTGAACATACCAAATATCCCAGACATCAGTCTATAAATAAACGTCCTTGGCTATGAAAAAAAACAACAGGAAATCTGTGATTTTGAAATACATAAGGATAAACAAGCAACTATGTTTTTCACAGAAATATTTTTTTAGGTTAATGGGTGATTGTAGCTTCAAGTTGATTCTTTTTATATAAACTAATATCAACAGTTTTTGATTATAGGAAAGAGAACAAATAGACTGGCATGCGAAAAATTAGAAATCACAAAAAACTTGGTAACAAAAACTAACAACAAGAAAAATAACAACCAAAAAGTCAATATCTAATGGTAATTTTTAAAACTTAATGATTATGTTTTGAATAATTTAATAATTTCATTCTAACAAAAATTTGTACACTAATATTATTGTGGGATTGTAATAAAAGTTTTCAATTTCAAGGTCAGAAAAACTAAATCACTTTCACAAGATTACAATGTACATGTATATTCATCCAAATTCTTCATTAAAATTAAAACAATTCCTGTTGTATGCAAAAAATTATGTTAATATTTGTTATTTCATAACAATGTACTCATTTATTATTTCAAAACAATGTAACTGGTTGTTATTTCACAACAATGTACTCGATTGTTATTTCACAACAATGTACTCGATTGTTATTTCACAACAATGTAACTAGTTGTTATTTCACAACAATGTAACTGGTTGTTATTTCACAACAATGTACTCGGTTGTTATTTCACAACAATGTACTTGATTGTTATTTCACAACAATGTACTCAGTTGTTATTTCACAACAATGTACTAGATTGTTATTTCTTAACAATGTACTTGGTTGTTATTTCAAAACAAATCTTAAAAATGTTTTATACACTAAAATATTGCAACAACGTGAAAAGGAACATTTTCCATTAGTAATAAAAGTTTTTACCGTCTATATTTATTTTGTTTTGATAAAACTTTAAGCGACAGCAGTAATTTATAGTTGACTTCGTGAACACAATTTAACTATTTTACGTGATCTTACACTTAAGTATTAAAGTACTTGCAGCATTAGAAAATATTAAGTAAAAGAAGGTACACACTTTATAAAAGTATAACATAACAGGCTAGCAGAACTGTGGTCAAAAAATATTGCACGTTTTAATACATTCTTGTTAATATTGTTAATATCGAAATATGTCAAATAAACTTGAAAAATAAATGCATTTATGAAATATGCATTTGCTAAATTCAAGCATAAAAAATTTGAAAGACAGAATATTTTTCTTCAAGTTTCACAACTCGTTTTCTAAGTACTGTTTAAACCACTGTGTGTAACAGGTAATGACAACTAGCTGATGAAATGGGTGTCTCATTTATGTACATTTTTCTTCCTGCATATCTTTACATTTTTTTGAAGACCAAACTAGATAACCATGTTTTTTTACCTTGAAATATGTATAATAAGGTCTTAGTTATCCCCCATAAGTGTCATATCTTACATCAATTGTTTACCTCATAATAATAATAATAATCATAATAATCATAAATTTACAATTTTTTTCTCATATGTTTACAATAGTAAGAAACATTTTTATCAACAAATTTCAATACATTTTGAAATAAGATTTTTGAATAACTTGTATTGAGGTATTTTCCAGACATTAATCGGAGTATGTGATTATGTCCCTCATATAAAATAAAATGTTTTATGTTGGTTTTTTTTTTCCATGAAATTTTATCTTTGTGATCATTAAACTAGAGAAAATAAATTTTATGTTTTTCATCATTGAAAGAGCACCGTCTGTTCAAAAGTAAATAATAACCATCTTTATAACTATCTGCAAGTTGTTATGACCAGTTAGACTCAGTGAGTACACAAACAACACAATTTCTAATACACAAAAAAACAATAGCATACTCAATTTTTAAGTCATATAAAAATCTTGTGGTCGTGTCATATTAACCCTTAACCTGCTGGGAACCAAAAGTGTTAAGCCACTGCCACCAGTATAGAGCCGAGCCAGCCTGCGTTACCACGCTGTCTGACCGGGACTCGATACCATTTGTAGCTAAATTTTTGTATTTTGATACTTAAAACTTAATTTACTTAATTTTCAAATGGACTGATCCAAATTCAAAAATTCAAAGCCGGGGGAATCCATTATACAAATTTGCCAGGTCAAAGGTTAATACAAAGAGGTCAGAAAGGTGAATCAGTATATCAAATATAACACATACACACTTTAACAAGAATAAATATAGAGATAAAAGGTGTCAAAGAAATAGACGCAAAGTTTTTTTGAGCAAATACGGTGTAATTGCTAGTGTGTAACAATAAGTCATAAAAACTTAAGGTATTTGGATACCAGTTTGTACAAAAAAATCTCATGATAATTGGTTTTTTTTCATTAATGCAAAAATTACTTTCATCTTTACTTATCTATTGTATTGGCATCTTTATCATTTTGCCTTGCCTGGTCTACAAATATTGAACTTTGAAATCTAATGGTCTATAACTCCATTGAATTTGACTGAAATTTTTCTTAAAGGGGTATCCAAACTCCTTAAAAAGTGTAATTTTTTTTTAATTAAAAAAATGTGGAAACTGCTAAACACAGTGTCTTACTGTTCATGTACACTATAGTATCACAAATATTGCTATATACATACGTTACTATATGTAAACAAGAAATACCTAGTGCCTGAAATCATCTTTTCACACATCATAATATATCTACATCAAAAAAATATTTCAATTTCACAACTTAAGTTTTCAAATACATGTACACCAATCTTATACAATTGTAACAATTTTAATGGTCTCGGATGATTTAAATATTAACATTTAATTGCACATGTATACAACTGTTCTTCAATGTTGATTTTGTAAAAAAAAAAAAATTATGAAAAAAATTCAAACATACTGGAGTGAAGCTCAGGGACCATAAAAAGTTATTAACACATTTCCAGTATCCATATAACTAATCTTTCATCTCATATATCATCACCTTAAAAATGCAGAGACTGTTTACTCGTACTGGTTCAAAATAGGAGTTATCCAGTTACTGCACTATCAGTTCAAAATAGGAGTTAACCAGTTACCGCAATGAGGTGACGATATATGCTTACATAAACAATATCAAACACGTTTCTAGGGTCCACTAAACTAGACTTTCTGTTCATGATTTTTTTTCTTATCACTTATGAATTTTTTTTAAAGCTTTATTTATGTTTGAATCGACAAGGTACGTGTTTCAAATAAGGTAATCTCTGTTTGAATTGGTATGAAATGCTGACTGTATGTGTAATTATTACACACGTCTACTAGCAGTTTACCAAATATAACGATTACATATGTCACACTCTCTTAATATATATATATAACATAATCATGTAACAAAAACTTTCGCACATACTAACAATTTTACCAAACATACAGAAAAACCTGGATTTACAAATATTTAAAAATCCAGATTAACAAATATCTTCGAACATGCATTCAAAAAAAAATTATTCCGAGAATATTTGCTTTTTTTGATTTTGTTTGCATTTGTACCATGTGACAATGTAGTGTTTTATTTTGCGTTGGACATGTGTTTAATATAAGTTATTCAATTATTAATTTGAGCTTAATTCTGATGAGAGCCTGGGTCTCATCTTTTAACAATTCCCAAGTCTGAATCCTGAAACTAACCAGCACTGATGCCATACGAGGATAAATGGTTCTTCCCAAGCATATAGAACCTTTAAAAAATATATTTTTTCTTGGTTTGGTTTTATGTCACACCAACACAGTATATATCATATGGTGACTTTCCAGCTTTACTCGTGGAAGGAAAACCTCAGGTGCCCCTTCCATGCATTATTTCAGGCACAAACAACCATCAGAGTAGAACCACTGACGTATTGTATATTAGCTGGATAGCTTCACATGAATAAATCCCAGTCAGGATTTGAACCAAGAGCTATGACGGGCAAGTTGTTGAAGTCAACGACCTTAACCACTTTGCAATGGACGCCCCTAGAACCTATGATATCTTTGATGCAATAATACCTGGGGGTTGCCATGATACCTGGGGGTTGCCATGATACCTAGAATTTTCAGTAGACATCTCAAAATACTTAATAAACTATCGTGTACAAAACACAGTATGTTGAAAATCTTGTATATATTTTACACAAAACATGTTTTGTATAACCTACATTACACATATGAGTAACATATATTACACATGGGTATAACATATGCAACATATGTAAATTTTATTATGTGTATAACTTGCACATGCAAACAAAATCAATTTTCATAAGCCATGTTTGTTATAGACTTTTCAGACAAGAAAAAAAGTTCTTTTTATTTTTTCAGCTATTAAATATGTAAAAAAAAACTTTTACATGAAATATAACGACTACAGTAAACTCCACTTATAACAAAATACTGCTTATAAAGATACAGCACTTATAAAGATATACCACTTAAAACAATATTGACTATAACGTTATACCACTTATATATATTGATAAACTGCTTATAAAGATATACCACTTATAAAGATATTCCACTTATAATGATATTCTGCTTATAATGATATACCACTTATATCGATATCACTTATAACAATATCACTTATATCAATATACCGCTTACAATGATATACCGCTTTTAACAATGCTGTTGCTACAGTCCTGACTCTAGTTCTCAAATTGGTTGTCTGTCTGATAAAACAATATCCGAACATAACAATATAAATTTGCGGTCACCTGGATATCGCTATAAGCCGAGTTTACTGTATGTGTATTTATATTCTCTACATCTTTCAAAACGAAAAAAAAAAAAACTTCAAAAAACATACATACATGCAAACAGTTTCAAAAAGATAATCTTGATCGAGTCGGCGTGCATACATATATACAACTCGTAGACAATATATACAAAAACAGTAAAAAGGTGCTCTATTAGATTGAAAAAACCAAAAAAAACCAATGTGATCTGTGGCCATATCAAACCCTTAATTTCCTTCACAAAATATTCAATTAAATACGTCTTTGAAATCTGACGGGAAAAAAAAATTTATCTACAAAGTTAAATTTGTGATTTTTTAAGTGAAATAAATTATGTATCCTTGTAAAAAATTTTAAACTTCCTCTTTTCCCTTTTTTTTTAAAATCTTAATATTTTCCAAAGGTCAGGTATTGGTCATTTAGAATTATTTCACTTGAAACGAGCTACTGTCTTGAACATTTCAAGTCATCATCTGAGAATAAAATAACCTATATTCTGAATTCTTGCTTCACGTTCTATCATAGGTTTTAATTTTATCTTTATTATCATTTCTTTTTATAAACAGTTTTTCTTTTAGCTGTTTTTCACTTATCTATACATAAAGAAAGAAACCAACATCAAAAACAAACTTTTGTCATACATAAATCCTACAACAATGGTTTTTATAACATAACAGAAGAACTTGGATTAGAAAAGGTCTTTTTTGTTTGTAGTCTTTCCATGAAAAAGGGCAATACTGCCTCTAGATCATACATATCCTTGAACCACTTCGTTCCTGGCTGTTTTCACGACCATTCGTAACACTTTTTCTTAAATCAAAGTCTTTTTTTGCCACACGTAAAGCACAGAGAAAACTGGGGAAAAATCTTTGTATTTTATCTACAGTGCTTTCTTCACAACAAAGTTGTCCTCCATACACAACCCTCATTCCAACTCCAAAATAAATGACCTTGAACTTGAGTGACCTTTCACTTTTAATCATTTGACCTTTAATTTCATTCAAAAGGTCATGGCCATAATCAAATAAGGTCAAAATTAAAATTTTGCGAAACTTAGTGCATCCTTTTTTTATCTCTCCAACCTCGACTCCAATGACCCCTCCTGGTCAGAATACAGTCACAAAATGAAAGATAAAATTGGCATTTACTTAGTAAAAAACTTTATTAACTGATGTTTTCGAACATCTTTCACTTTTGTTCACTAAATATCTATAGTTCCTTCTCTCGAGACGTGTCGTCCACCACGTGGAGAATTGCCAAACTGTCGGTCATGTGACCCACCTGGGCCACTGTAATTTCTATGCGAGTCCCTATCTCGAACATTATCAAATTCTATATTAGATTCAAATTCATGTTGCTTTTGATCTGTACGCGAACGATCCGGGACACTCGTGTGTGGCCCGTGAGTAGTATGTGGTCTATCGTGAGTATCCCCGATACCGTGGTGACGATCACGATGAAATTCACTATGTCCCCTTCTCGGAACATTTGGGGATTCTGGTCTAGTGTCTGAAGAATGAGAACGGGGATTTAAATGGGGATTAGTCACATGTGGTGCTCGAGTAGAAAGGTGGGTAGGTGAGTGAATGTCTCTACGTGGGGATTGAGGTACTCCCGTTGCAGGGTGCGTCGCACGCCAATAAGCCTCTAGAAATTCCGCTAAATGCTCGCAAGCATCTTCCAATTGATTTTCATCGAGTATAACGTCAAACATATCCTGAAAGATACAAACAATTTTCATCGAATGTTCAATTTTTCCATATATGCTAAAGTAAATACAATAAAATTTCAGTCATGGATACTTTCAGAAATAAAGTTAATTAATGATCATCAAGTTCTTTATCAAGATCAAATATGGACATTTTTATACTTCTGTTGTACCCTTTCATGTAATAATGTAAATAAAATAGAAACAATTCAATACTACTGACACTTTTTTTCCTAAAATGAAATTAAATCCCAGTTTCAATCAAAGACTTTTCTACCAGTTCTGTTCTTTTTATAAGGTGGCTTTGAATAAAATTGAAACTCTTTAGCACCAAAATGTTTTTTAACATTTGTGGTATTTGAAAAAATTGATGTAATTTAACTATGGACTTTCAAATCTAAATTTTTTGCGGGAAAAGCAGTTTATTGTTTATGTAGCAAAACTAATCTAGCTGTCAAGGACATTAATTTTAGGGGGCCCCCTTTAGGGAAAAATTAGAATAAAAAATTTTGTAGCCCCCAATCAAAAAAGTCTTTTATTTAAATTTAAATTCAATTATTTAAAATTTAAATTATGATTCTCACTTTTTAAATAAAAAAGGGGAAAGTATGTTAAAAGAAATAATACAAAATCCATGACAATACCTGGGTGACATCGTCCTAGAATTTCAAACAAATGTAACTAACACATGTAACAGCACTATGCAATAATTATTTAAACTAAAATATATTCAATTTTTCAATTTTCAAACCCATGAACCCTGGGTCAAGAGGAAGAAATACCCATATTTAACATTAAACACCCAGAATTCAAAGCCAGACATGTTCATTACATAAATTTAGTAAAATAAGATTTAAATAAGCAAATACAAGTAAACTGAGTTTTTAATTCTTAATGTTGGACTCATTCACTAGCTTACTTCATTGTTTGTTTGTTTGTTATTCATGTCACATTTATGGTCATATATCAGCAGTCGGTCCATCTGGTAAACTACTAAGTTATTGCCAATTTCTGCGCAAGTGACGCACATCCCACATACAGGAAAAAAGCCTCATCGCTCATTTCCCAAAAAAAGAATCATTTACATGATCCTTTATTTTTCTTCACTACTAAAACCCTCTTTGCTAATTCAAATCTTTATCAAAGTACAAGGACTATATTTTTTTTAACCAAAGTACATACCGGACTACATTGTGCTAATTTATCAGCAGCAACTAACTGTACATTCATATTCCTACTCTGTGACTTTCCACGAGATTTGATTAAACGCTGTAAAACCTGGAAAAAACAACAAAACAAATCAAATATGTAAAGTATGTAAAGAATTATATTGTGAATTACGGAAAAAAAGTTTACTTATTTGAAGAATTTGAGAAGCACGACTCTGTACAGTTTAATCTAAATAAACTAGCTAGCTTTAAAGAATGTTTGTACATCTGGTGGAAATCCTGAATGTTCACAAGTTACGATTAAGAAACAACATCCTAAAGTAGCCAGGCATTTCGTTTGTAAACAAGACAAAGAAATGTGAGGTACAAAGTGAAAACAGACCAACAAAAGTAAATAAGAAAGTTTAAAGACTGTAAATTACTGGTGTAAAAATAACATTGAACACTATTTTGTATATATTTCAACCAAATAAATATTCAAAAACTTGTAGTACGTTGTCTGACAAAAGTTTAATATGAACTTGATATCTTTGTGAGTTGGTATTTTCATCATTTTTTTTTTTATGTTGTTGTTTTTTTGTTGTTTTTTTTTGGTTTAGTTTCAGGTCACACCAACAGAGTATAGGTGATATGTAGACTTTCCAGCTTAACTGGTGGAGGAAGACCTCTGGTGCCCTTCAGTGCATTACTTCAGGCACAAATGGGCACCTGAGAAGAAGAAACACTGACATTCTGTTAGCTAACTGGATAGCTTCCTCACATGAAAGAATCCAAAGTCCCTGTCCCACAGTGTTGAAGGGCAGGTGTTTCGAAGTCAATGACCTCAACCACTTGGCCACAGACGCCCCTTTAATTCTTTGTGCCATTTCACAGGTTTTAATTTAATTTTAATGCAATTGTAAAATCATGTTTTTTAAAGTATCACAAGTTGGTAAACTTTTTGCTATTTCAAACAAATTTTGAACAAGGACAGTAACTTTTTGAGGATAAGAATTATAAGACAGGAGATTGTCAGTCATATTACCCAAAAATTGAACAGGGGCAGTAACTCTTTGGTCAAGAGTATCACAAGTCAGGACATTGTCAGTTATATCATATAATCAATTCAGGGGCAGTTACTCTTTTATGAGTAACAGATCAATAAAAACCATTAAGTAAAATATAAAAGTTTAGTCAGTCCTGGTTTGAGATAGCAAATGATTCCTCAAATGTCAAACAAGTTTAGTTTTCTCCTCAGTTTTATAAATCACGAACCGTTAGTAAGTACGACAATTTAATCTAATCGTGCAAGGAAGAGTTGCGTACCTTTGGTGATGCAATCTTCAGGTAGACTATAATTGGTGCCAGAGAAGTTTTAGCGAGTTGTGACGGGTGATTAATGGTATCGCAATCTAACACTACAACCTGCATCGAACGCGCCAACTCAAATATACGCTCTATCTCTTTCTGCACCTCACCTGAAAATACATCACAAACACTTCTGTTATTTTTCTGTTTTAAACATTTCAAATATTTTACAAACATGGCCTGCCCCTTATGGGGTTTGAACCCACACAAGAAGCAATCCTTAGACTACTAGTCTGTTGAGGTCATACAGCACTTTTGAGAATTTACTTGTGAAATTCGCTGTCTATTATTTCAATTGTAAAGGTATGGAGCCTATAAACATTTACTCTATTTTTGTCACATGTACTTTGTATCAAATAAATATTCATTCAAACCAACAAAACATTAGCTAATATGCTTAAACAAAATCTTATTTCAAAACTTAGTGTGTATGTCACTTTTGAGATTCTGTAAAATTGTGGAATTAATTTTTTTACCTAAACCTGAGCCTCGACTATTAGCCCGCTCCATCAGTCCTCGTTTGTTAGGATTGTTAAGTAACGACCTCTTGGCCAACGAGATATCTGCTGTTACATGAGTTATGATTATTCTGAAATAAAAACGAGCAAAATCTTTATACCATATTCCTCAGTCTTCATGATTTTGTGTAATTTACAGGTACAACCTATTAAGTGACAGAGCAATGGCACAAAACAAGGTTTTGCAAGTAAGCAAAAAGAAAACAAAACAACATTCGAATCTTTGTCATTAGCACACCAAAATGACCACCTACATTAGAGCACCACAAAACACTTTTTGTTGTATGAGATAAAACGAAAAAGTGAAGTAATTTTGTCTTTTACCTGTATAATGGACATTTACACTTAGATGGGTGAAATGTGGCTGTATTCAATATCTTTCAATATGTTATTATTTAAAACAAATGCTTAGCTATCAACATAAATCGTACACAATTTAAATCCAGAATGTACCCTCAACCTGCCGAAAATTGCCAGAAGCATAAAGCCAGGTCATTTTGCATGCTCACCAGTCTCTATACTGTTTGTAGCCCATTTTTTAGTGTATTTTCATATTGAAATATCTCACACTTCTACGGACTGTTCCAAATTCAAAGCTGGCCAAGTCCATTACATAACTTCAGCAGGTTAAAAGGTAAAGCACTAATTTACATTATCTTTTCTGTACTAACCTGCCATCAAATCTGTGCTTGAGGTAATCAAACAGTGCTTTCTGCATCATGTCTGTTACTTCATACCCCTTTAATGACGGGCCAATCAACACCAGGGGGCGCATCGAAGGCACTACCTCGTACGGAGAAATATTGTCCGACTATAAAGATATAACATATATATCCATATAAATATATACTAGTATATTAAACATGCTTTAATTGAACTTCATTTTTTTCACCCAAAAAAGTTTTAGTATACAAATATGATCATATAACACTTTATCAGGATTAAAGTAATGTTTTCCACAAGTTATTACTCATTTAAGGATATCCGGCACTGATTAGCATGTATGCAAACCACCATATTTCTTTTTTTTCAAATAATGACATTGCAGTAAAAAATTACCCTAATATGCAAAACAAATCTGCTAGAAATAGGTCACACGATAAAGGTGGCAAGAGCAGCTTTGATGTTTTTACAATATGACCTTATATTAATTTTATATTTATCAATTCATTTGGGTTATCCAATGAAAATTGATGTTACAAACAGATAATATTATAAATGAAATAATGGAAATCAGCTCTATAATCTTATTGGTTAATAAATGGGTTCTGTATTTTTAAATATACTTATGTATAAGAATAACAGGTTAACAACATTCTCTATATATGCCACTATTTAATTTTAATATTCTTCATTTAAGCCATTACGTTATAATTTATACACGCCTTTTAGCGCCCTTATCCCCCCCCCCTCTTTTGTTGTCTCAAATGGTAAAAAAAATGCCTTATTTAGGCCCCCAACACTTGTTTTATGTTTGAGAAATGTTGTTAAAAAAAGTGACCTCTTTTTCGGCGCGGCCCCCCAACCAAAAGATACATCAGGGGGTTGCCAGAAGGGGGATGTGCCCCTTTCTGTTTGGGGGGTTTGAAGGGGGGCGGAGTCCCCCTCATCGCCAAGAAAATTTTGGACTTGTGAGAGGCTATAAATGACCCCAGATTGATCATAAGGTAACGTGTAGGCAACGCTGAAAAGCATTTGACTCTATCTCAATCCATTGAGAAGTTGCAGCACTTTGAAATCAATTTTGATGGAAAAGATCAACGCAGTGATTTTTGGCAATTTTGAGATGTCCCCTCGTTGCCATGGTAACAGAAAATTTAAGCCTGAACATGTTGTTGCAAGGGCAATGGTCCAGTCAACATTTGTGCCAAGTTTGATTAGTGTTCAAGCAGTTTTTATAGTATTATAGCAATTTGAACTTGTAACGGGAGACTTTTCAATGAAAACAGCCATTTTTTACAAAATGCTCATGTAATGGGTTAAAGCGCCCTTTAGCTTTTCTAAAGGTTAAATATCTTGATTTTAGAAATGAACGTCACTGACGCGTTATAAATAGCTATCAGGACGCTGTTTTAAAGAAGGCTTAACAGTAATATGATGCACTTTTCAAAGATAAAATTACTGAAATACTTAGTTTGAAACAACAGAGAATTGGTTTTCCAACAGAAAATATAAGCTAAAGGCCCCTTTAAGCTCTAGGAAAAAGAAAAACTTGTAGCTCTTATATGGACAAGTTTCGATACCTTTTTGAAGAACGGTCTTTTCTTGTCTTTTTGGCCAGCAGAACTTGGCGCAGCACTGGTAGGTGTAAGATTACTCTTCTTTGAGCCAGAATTCCCCAGACTATCACTATCATCTACACTGTCAGCTCCATTCTCCTGATCTACACCTACAATATTGTCAACATATATCTCATTACATATATTTTTCACAATTAAAATTTGTGGACATGACATGAAAGAACAAAGAATATTTTCGGTGGTTCTTAAATTCCCGTGCTGTTTATTTTTCCAAAAGGTTAAATGTAAGTAATGTGAAGCAAAATAATCTTACAGGACAAAAAATGAAATTTTGTTGGATCTTAAATTCATGGATTGATTTACATGTATCAACTAAAAGCATGAAAATAAGTGCTCCCACAAATAATGATTTTGCAGTACCTGCATGGCTTTCCGACTCCATAAAATGGTACTGCATAGCCGTGTATATATTTTGACAAGGCATCATATGAGTTACACAAAAATAGCGTAAAGATGTGCTTAATGTTAGCTAACTACATTGCAGGCACGTCAATCAATAAATAATTTTATTACATGTATTACAGACCACCTCTGAATAAAGATCACCCTGTGAATAAAGACCATTTTTCAACAACCATACCTCATTGAATAGAACAGAGTAACCCTTAAATAAAGACCACTTGTCTACAAAGGCCATATTTGATCTTTCCTTTAGCTGGCCTTGGCTCGCAGGTTTGACTGTTTATGCGTATATCTAGAGCTGTTGTTGCAAGATCGGCAAAACTGGATCCCTCGTGAAAATTGCCGATTTTGCAGTCTTAAGCAAAAACCTCTAAAATTGGAAAAATATTTCCAGTTCCACCTTCACTCAGGTGTTTTAACATTTGTACTAGATGATTAAAATAAGTTGATCAAATGACAAAATGCCACTTTCGTGTTTTTTGTTATTATTTCTCTGTTTAACCACCTGCAGATTTCCAATAGTTTCACAATAAATATTTCAGTTTTGTTAAAATATTGGCAAACGTTTTCAGGAATGCATTGATGGGTGGGTGGCATACTATTAGGTTGTATGGAAATTCTATTTTTAGAAACAAATTCAAGGTCTCATTATTCTTTTATGCAATACGTGAGTCTGGCTTGCTTTTTGAGCAGACACACCAGGTTTTTTTTTGGTTCAAAACTGAAACAATTGAATTAAAATCCCAGAATAACATTTGATTATAAGGTTTAAGTTAACTAACTTATCAGCAGGAACGAAAAGTGATCAATTGCTTTCACCACTAGTATAGAACTAGGCCAGTCTGCCCAATTGTGCAGTCTGACCAAGCTCTATACTGTTGCCTGAATTACTAAATTTTTATCCTGATATCTCTAGAACTGATAATGGAATGTTCCATGATAATGTAAGCTGGACAAGTCCATTTAAGAAATTTGGCAGGTTAAGGACTCAAGAAAACTTACCTGGAGTGGGTGGGGTAGTAGATTCCCTTGAGTTAGTTCTCAGCAAAGATTCTACAGGTATATTTTGTGATGATGCAGATCCCTTCCTGAAAATATATATAAATAAAAATTTAAAGTTTTTGAACACAGTTTTTTCTTTTATGTATATAAAACTTTGTTGGTTTGTTGGGTTTAAGCTCACACACAAACACTGTAAAGTTTATATTCTGACGTCCCAGCTCTTCTGGATGAGGAAGATCTCTGGTCCTTTGATGTATTAAATGTTTCAGGAACAAGTCGGCACCTTGCATAAAGCCACAGATCTGCTATAACCTAGCTTGATTTCATATATGTAGCTTCTTCACATGAAAGAACCTAAAGTCCCTGATGACACAGACTTTGTAGGAGTTTCCTCAACATATAAATAATCAAGTCCTGTAGATTTCATATGATGAAGACAAAAACAAACTGCAAAATTAAAAGCTTTGATAAATGCAGGAGGTCACAAAAAGTTAAGTAAACCTTCATGAAAATGACACACCTGTGCTAAATGAAAATCATGTTTCAAATCATACATGTTTGATAGAAATACAGGATAGCTATACACTTGTACCAAAGGACCACCTGTAAACCAGTCAATAAGTAAATCATGTTTTCAAAATGTGGTCTTACCAGACAGGTTTTAGTGTAAAATACAATACGATGCAATTATAATTATCTGTTTCATTCTGATGCTATAAAATTTCACATCGTTTAAATTTTATGCGCCATGCAATGTAATTTCAAGTCATTTGAATTTATCGGAGGATTTTATTGTAATTTGCTACGTTCAAATAATGTAAATGAAATAATACAATTTTTTTTTCAAAATCTTTTTTTCTATTTTATCGAAGTTTTCAAAATTTAAGTAGAATAATTAAGAACAGCAATATTTGTACAAGTCATGGGATGTCATTAAATGCAATATTTGAACGGCCAATTACCAATTGATTAAAAAGACCCACAGGTGTATTCTGTTTTATGAACCCTACTTCTTCATCAATAACTGGAACGCATAAGAGCATCTTTTAAAAATTTTGAAGCATAAATATGTGACTGTTTATCATGTGACACATGTCACATAACATTTACGTTGTCTTATAACAGCACATTAATACATCTGGTATAGACTGCATCCGAAACTAGACTTTTTCTGAATAAGATAAATACTCCCACCAAAGTGCTTCACTGAGACTGAAGTCATCATTGACATGTGAAATAGAGTAACTTTTGATGCATAAAAAGACAACAAATGAATGTGTTTCTCACCTAAAGAAAAATAGGTTACAAAACTATTAAAAAAGCATGAAAATGGAAGAATACTGCTTTTAGCAATAAAGCTATAATCTTTATAAAATCTACAACAATGAATACAGACTTTATATAGGACACTTTGTCCATATTTATTCAATTTTATTAATTGTGATTAAATCACAAGTTTCTAGCATGTAAACCATTGCATTATCCAAAATTTCCGTTTCGATACAACATATTTTGACCGTTTTTTCTCAGGGTAAGTTCAAGGTTACAATATTAGGTCATGTGACTTTTGCACACGTAAACTTTTTATCCCCTTCTACAGCCAGACATTGTAAAGAGTAGTTTCGCGCTAGGTGACCTAATTGCGCAATAGCAATCTCCGAGAGATTGAGATCTTGTGAAATCAATACCATATCCATTGCAGCGAAACCACCTACAACTCTTGAAGAAAAAGTGATCAATATTGTTATTATTTTCAGACTGTAATTACATCGGCTAGAAAAGCTAGAATTCTGGCTACAATCTTGCCTACAGGACAATCACACAGAACATTGTCAATTTTCACTACAGACTCCTCATTGCTTCACAAAATAACTCCCAGTAGTTTTACCTCTCAGACAGCTTGCAGCCATGTTAACATCCTAGCAATTTACTGTGCATTCATTTAATTTTGCAGGCATGAAATTTCGTGGTTTTGTCAAAAAGGATTATTTTCATGGGCTTCTCAAATCCACCGATTGTCTTTATTTTGTGTTTTTTATTTTTAAAGTAAAATGCAGAAACTGTTTCACAAAAATAATTCTACAGACCATGCAATGAAATTTTGTTGGATCTAATTCATGGATTGACCTGTCCACTAAAATCATGAAAGTTTGTGCCCCACAATTATAATGATTTTGCTGTATTAAATTTGTACACTATCTGATACTGGAAATAATGTTGTCAACATGCCATTCATTGTTCCTCCAGTTATTATGATTCCATAAACTATACATAGGTGCCTGCATGGCTAAGTTAAGCAAGCTGATTTCAATCTCATGCCACTCCCAGCCTTGCCAGGTACATTTTCTTTCACATGTGAAGAAGCCATCTTATGAGATTATGTAACTTTTTCCAGTATATATTTCTAGGCTAGGATTGCACAAGCCAAAAAGACACAAATGTGATGAAGCTTTTGCTCCAGTAGATATTTCTAGGCTAGGATTGCACAAGCCAAAAAGACACAAATGTGATGAAGCTTTTACTCCAGTAGATTTTCTAAGCCAGGATTAAAGCCAAAAGACATAGATTGTGACCAGATGTAACTTTTGCTTGAACTTTTTGCACCAGGTACAAAGTCGATATAAATAATAGGTTATTTATACACAATCCGTTCAGAACAGCCTATTATTCTATTATTGAAAATTGATCTCTTGTACCAGGGCATTGTTTATGACAGAAGTTCAAGGTCTTTGTCTATTACTGGAATAATATGTTACGTAAATATTGATGTTATCTTGTAATGCTCGTAACTTTGTAAAGTGGTCTCAGATGGGAGAAATGGATTCTCTATATAAAGTAAGAAGTACTTTCAGAGTTGAAGAAATTCCAAGAATGGAAAAATATCCTTTGCTTTTAACTTGACTTTGATTTTTATGCTGTCAAATAAGTGTATGAAATTTCAACCTATTCCTGTCCATAGTTTTAAAGATAGCAAGAAGCAAAAACTAAACCAAAGTGTAATGGCAATGGAGACACCAACCCCAGTATAAAAGTTCTCCCTATTCTTTAGACAAGTTGAAAATTCATCTACTCGTATGCCTTGCTTAAGGAGGCCATAAAAACACACAGACAAACATACATAAACTGTCAGCATAATAAACCCGGCACCATAAAAGATAATTAAATGGATGATAATCCAACAAATATGGTAATTTGTTTTTCTGTGTCTGCTGTAGACCATGGAATGTTATTCGTCAACGATGAACAGCACGGCTGCAAATAGGACGGAATGGGACCGATGACAATGTATCTGTCTACTTATAGAATCAGACAAGAATCAAGCAAATGATGGCATAAAAAACAGCAAACAATGGTGAAAAAACAACAACAGACAGGTGCCTGTTTTAGATACAGTTGATGCATGGATACATTCAATTTATATTACACAATTTATCTGTCTTTCAAATCAGGCAGGCTATTTCAGGCCAATCTAATTATTCTTTTCTCTTGTAACCATGGCAACTAGTACCTTTATTACTGGTACGTAATGTTAATGTCAACCTAATAATTTAAATGCAAATGCTAAATTTCAGATATTTTGAAAGTTTCTTTCAAAATTGTAGAAAATAATTCAGATATAGGCAAGCCCTAAAAACATCTTTGTTCCCCTTCCAGTAACCATGCCAAACTAGGTAAGTAAGTAAGTAAGTAAGTAAGTAGATACACAATGCAAAATTAATTTTTTTATTGATTTTTTTTTATTTGAACAATTATTGATTTTTTTTCATTTGAACAAAGACCTGAATTGTATGGATTTCAAATTAAGAAATTGTAAATGCTTAGCATTTGTTCAAAGTTTTATTCACTATCCACGTTTGAACAATGCATAAACAGAAGACAATAATATAAATAAGTGACTCTCATTTTATGACTGCTTTCATGTTTAATTTGGCATTAAAATTGTTTGGGTAGCCGTGTTTTTTTATGGGTATGTAGCGAAGGAAGTAAACCAAACAATATTTTATTTTTGGCCCGAAACAATGCTGTACAAGTTAATTGTAATGCAGTATAATCCTTCCAGAAAAGCCAGCTCCTTGTATCAGCAGTCAATTATCCCTAATTTACATAAATTAACCAGAATTTCAGAAAGTCTGCTTTTTTCGTGTGTTTTGTCAAATAATTCCTCTCTACGTTTAACAATGTAAAGAACAGCAAAAGTTCAGTGTCTTCAAAATGTATGCAAAGAATGTTGCAACTAGCAGTGCAGCTAACAGTGCATCATATGCAGAGTGCAGTTTTCTAATCTTAAAGATTTCTTTTTTTCTTTCGTAAACCTGGAATTTTGTTAGTTCGGAAAGGGGAAAAAATTCAGTGAATAAAAGTTAAGAGTTATTCCTCATAGCCAAAGACCTTCCATACTAATGAATTAGACATCATATCTAGACTTTGGTTTCTGTAATCTACTGGGCAACTGGTGTCACAAGTTAAAAATTGCAATATTTTTACAAACTCAAGGGCTATAACTCTACAAATACTGAATATACAAGCAAAGCCTCAGGTGCATAAGAACACATGCTGACCAACATTCCTGTAAAGTTTCATGGCTTAGTGATATAATATATTATCTTTTGAGCTATGCGCGACACAAATTGAAAATTTAAGTTTTTTATTATGCATGACACAAATTGAAAATTTCTACTACTAAGTCAAGGGCAATAACTGACAAAACTGAATTAATCCACTGAATTAAGTTCACAACATCTCATGCTCATCAACATTCCTGTAAAGTCCAAGCACTTTAAGAGGTAATGTGACACAATATGAGAACGCACTCACAGACGGATGGACAAAGGCAAATCTAAATCCCTCAACACACTTAAAGTAGAGACCATAAAAATGGACAACTCCATTAAAGATATTTAGATTGATACAGGTTAAAGAATGGCAAAAAGGAAGGAGCTTTATCAACTGTTTGCTGAAACTGTTCTAGGCATACATGTATATGAAGATGTTTTAATATGCATGATAATATATTATATTGTGACTTTCTGATGAAACAATTACTCAAATTTCATTAACATTTCCTATTACCTAAAAACAAAAAACTCGTCTCAAATTTCTTGGTAATTTAGCCATCCTCACTGAAAGACTTAATAGAACTATGGTATGTAGAGGGATACAAGGAAAATATGCAAGAGTTTAATCAATACTGCAGTGGATGTCTGCCAGTGGCGAAACACAACAGAACTCCGAGCATATCAAATATACACTTCTCATTCTCTAGAGACATTTATACCATAATCAGAACTCTCAAATATCACTATTACTACAGTTAATGACTGAAACTTCATTACAACCCCACACCCCTCCCTATTAAACATCTTTCAATGCACTTGTCCATATTTCATTCTGGGACCACACTATTCATTAACTTTAGGGAAAATTAAAAAAAATACGTATTGACTGAGCAGCAATTTAGCCATGCAATAATAGAAGAACTGTGTTATTGACTGAATAGCAAGCCGGTCAAGAATAGAAGAACTATGTCAGTTTAGTTGTTGGGTGTAATTTATACACAAGGTTTTGAATTTCATGACTGTTCAGGTCATATGTTAACTTTTGAGCTGTATACAAATGGTGCAAGACCGCAAATTTAACTGTCCTGTGCATAGAGGGGGATACCTAAGAAGGAGCATTCTGAACTTCAGCCATCCTTAAAATCCTAAGTGTAATACTGACCCAAATACATTTTCAGTCCAGCCATTCTGAACACTATACACAGTTTTTGTACCATTATCTTTAATTTCATTCCCACACAGCCTAAATTAAAGCAATAGCTGCCTATCTAAAATGGTAACATTGGCTTTTAATGTCTTAAAAGTCAATGCTGATGAATGTGTATATCACATGTGAAGCAACTATCTTCTTGGTGGTCTTAGCAAATACACCTATACCTGTACATGTATATACTTGTACATTGTATATAAAATCAGAAAGTAAACAACATCTTAACATTTTAAACAAGAGGGCCATGATGGCCCTGAGGTCGCTCACCTGTATATAGCCCCCCCCCCCCACACACCCATAAGAAGATGTTTCATGCTAAACATCTAAGCTCTAGCTCATTGGGCTTTTTAAAAGAAGATTTTTTTAAGTTTTTACTATACACATATAGTTAAAAACAATGACACCCCTGGGGCGGGGCCAGTTTTGACCCCAGGGCTTTTATTTGAACAAACTTTGTAGACACTTACTAGAACATGTTTCATGCTTAATATCTAAACTCTAGCTATTTGGGTTTTTTCAAAGAAGATTTTAAGTTTTTGCTATACACATATAAGGAAAATCAATGACCCCCGGGGCGGGGCCAATTTTGACCCCAGGGCTTTTATTTGAACAAACTTTGTAGACATTCACTAGAAGATGTTTCATGCTAAATATCTAAGCTCTAGCTCTTTGAGTTCTTTAAAAGAAGATTTTTTAAGTTTTTACTATATGCATATAGGGTCAAAATCAATGACCCCCTGGGGCGGGACCAATTTTGACCCCAGGGCTTTTATTTGAACAAACTTGGTAGACACTCATTAGTAGATGTTTCATGCCAAATATCTTAGCTCTAGCTCTTTGGGTTCTTTAAAAGAAGATTTTCAAAGTTTTTACTATATGCATATAGGGAAAATCAATGACCCCCTGGGGCGGGGCAAATTTTGACCCCAGGGCTTTTATTTGAACAAACTTGGTAGACACTCACTAGAAGATGTTTCATGCCAAATATCTAAGCTCTAGCTCTTAGGGTTTTTTAAAAGAAGATATTTAAAGTTTTTTCTTTCGGTTGCCATGGCAACCAGAGTTCTGCATGGAATTAAATTCTTTGAACAATTTTTTTAAAGGTGACCACCAAAGGAACATTCCTGTGAAGTTTGGATGAAATTGGCTTAGTGGTTTATGAGGAGATGTCATTTAAAGTAAAAGTTTACGGACGGACGCCGGACGGACGGACGGACGCCGGACGAAAAGCGATCACAAAAGCTCACCCTGTCACTTTGTGACAGGTGAGCTAAAAATAATTGACTGTAAAGTCTGTGCATATTTTTATGACTTTTGACCTCTAACCATGACCTTGACCTTTGAGCTTATATGAAGTGGTTATAATTCTATTTAAGCACAGTGTCACAGAAACACAAATCATATGTGCTATTAAAGTGATTTATAAAGTTTAAGTCCTGGCATTAAGTAAATTATAGCAGCAAATTAGTTAAGACAATTGACACCTTAATATAACCTTGACCTTTGAACAATCAATATGGTTCTTGCATATAAGACATTTATATCTTAATTAATAAGGCAAGCATTTACTTATCAAGTGCAAATAAACTTATTTAGAATCTCTCTTTCCATGGATGGAATGGACAGACAGACAGACCAAGACATCCACTAAGTTATCAACACTGGGCTACCTTCATTGTAAAAGTCGTTACCATCAAATGTGAAGTGGAAATTCTTACAGAATTATATTTTCCCCCAAAAAACACATCTGACAATGACATATATTTCTTTTCAAGTTTCCGCCTTGGTGTTACTTTTTTGCTAATGAAATAACTTAATTTGTAAAGAAGCAATACTCTCATAAACATAAAATCTCCTACGTAAAGTTGGGACGCCTGTATTGAATGGGTAATGAATTGTTGTTTGATACTAAACTACAATAGCAACTACAAATAACTTCTAGTCCTCATGCAGTGTACTAAATGATCAGATTAGAAACGGAAGGGAGGAAAAAACCAGGAATTAATCCTAAGACACAGCGCAAATATTTAATCACTGATAAAAGAAAAGGTTACACAGTAGAAACCAATTAAGACTTCGATATTGAGAGAGAGATATTTCACTTCCGCCTCAATGCAGTTGCAATGTAGCTGATAATAAAGCTCTAATTCTGCATCTCACTCCACTTAATTGGAATATTTGAAATGTCCTGCTTTGGAATCTGGTTCATTCAATTGTTGTTGTTGTTTTTTTAACCTTTACCCTGCATGGAACCAAAAATTATAAGCCTTTGCCACCAGTATAGAGCCATGTTAACCTTCAAGGTCCTGCAGTCTGACAATGCTCTATACGTGTTGGCTGAATATCTTTTTTTCGTTTTTATATCTCCAAATTTGATAATGAACAGTTCCAAAATGGAAGCTGAACAAGAAGATTTAAGAAATTAAAGCAGGTTAAAGGTTATATGAGTTTGATATCAAAACACTTTGGACGAGAAGCACCAAGTCTAGTTCAGCTGACCTGGCTCTATTCCTGTGGCACAGGTGTCTTTTTGTCCCCGTCAGATGTCACAGGGTTAGACTTTGCTGTTGTTTGAAGAAAATCGTGAGCTCATGATGCGTGTAAGACATTGTATATGGGCATAAAACATCTGTAAGCCTGTTCTTCAAACTGGATTTTCTAGTGTTTTCACTTGTAAGAAATATGCTTTGGCCCGGGTCGTGACAACAAAGGTGGCCGAGCCTTGACAACAAATGAATTAAGTTTCAAATGGTCATGCCAGGACATCCAATGAAAAACATGTTGCTTTTGGAACGTACACTACAATAACTGATGAAATATTTTTACTGTTTTTTCCCCCTTCAAACTTATCAATGTTTGGTGACAAACCAGATGATTTAAATAATGCAGCAGACCAAAATCATATCAAGAGTTCATATTTTGCTAAAAACAAGTCTCCAACATGAAAGATTGGCAAAAGAAAAACAAAACAAAGTTTTCCCACGTAAAGTTTGGCAACCCCCAACCCAAAAACCCTATTTTGCAGCAATTTACAAGTTAGTGGAAATCAATTCCAAAGTGTCTTCAGTGTAAGTTTTGCACTCTTTAAAAGATATAGCAATTTACCACAAGTCAGAAAAATTCTCACCAAGTTAAGTTCAATGACTGTGAAAAAAGTACATTCAGACGAGAAAGCAATCAGTCAAAACGTAGATGCTGGAATATTAACGTGAACAATAGCCTCGAACTGATTCCATCTTAAAATGGAATATTCTTGAATATTAAATCAGGATTTGCACCAGTGTTTGCAACAGTGCCAGAAAATGTTATCGTACACCCTCTAGCCGACATCACTTTGCTGTTGTTTGAAGAGAGTCATGAGCTCATGATGTGCGTAAGACAATATATATGTGCAAATAACATCTCTAAGGATATTCTTGAATATCAAACTGAAATTTCACAAAGTTGTACTGGGGAAAATTGTGCTTTGGCCCGGGCCATGACAACAATAATGGCTCAGCCTTGACAACAAATGAATTAAGTCTCAGGTGGCAAGGACAACCAATGAAAAACATGTTGCTTTTAAAAACCTGCTCAAGGATCATAGGGCTTTTTAAATGATGAATCATCCAATGCAAAAATTTGTTGCGTCCTATTATAAATGAGGGTGACACTCTAAAAGAAAATAGTGCTGCATAGCAATATAACTTATAAATAACTCAGAACTTTCTCTCAAGCTGGACATTCCTATCTGTAACAGTAACCAGTGTAAGATTGTAAAAATAGTCTCGAATTTCAAAGTTTATTAAAACAGTACATTTACTCACGTTGGGTTATTTTTGGACCTGCTGGAACCACTCAAGTGCTGTTTAATACTCTCTAGTTTGGCAGGACTGGGTATAAACCCCACATCACAACCTTCTTTTACCAGCCGACCTATCCACCAATCATTATTGAATTTCTGAAATGAAACAAATTTATTAGTCAATAAGTGATATCTTCATAATCACATTATGACACTTGTAAACTTACTTTTTTTATATGAAGGAAAATATTATTAAAGCACCAATACCTTAAAGATTTTTATAATCTTAGATGCTAAAATTGAGAGAAATTTTTATCTTATCTAAAGCATATAATGTATTGGAAAATGAAAGCCGTCCGGATAGATCAATAGGTAGAGCGTTGGACTGTAAATTGGGCGACCCAGGTTTGATTCCCAGATGGCCAAAGTCACTTTCGTTGTGACTGATCATGAAATAATTTCTACGGTCATTCGCACTGTACCTCTGCTCTGGTATGTACAGAAGTTTCAGTTCCTTGTGGAAGTAAAGGCAACTAGTACTGGTAAACTGCTTGACAGCCTACCCAGGAATGATGCGGTGGCTGCACTGTGCTCTGGTAAATTCAATGTAGCTTACTGCCATGATCCGGAGTGTAAACTACCAATACCACCACACTCATAATGATGGCCAGGGGAGGTAAAACATACCATGTGAAAAGCATCATTGGCTAAACAAAAATGATTTATTAATACATAGCAGTGAAAAATCTTACCTCTTTTATATGTAAGAAATCTTTTACTTGGAAAGACACCGTTTGACCCGGAGCACGAGAATTTTCATCCCCACCCGTGCCATCATATGATACATTTGTTCTAACAGCAAACGCTACTGGCTTTAACTGAAACAAGATAAAACGTGTAAATTATGAAACATTATTTCAAGAAATATAAGTATCAATAGATGCTCATACAATATGTTTTATCCCACAAAAATTAAAGCCATTTTTTTCATATTTGGTCAGCACATAATTATAATAGTGCTATTTTCAGTCACATGATAGCTCCTATGAAATTTAATTGGTGGAGGAAAACTACTCAAATATTTCCATGAGTATTTTAAGGTAGAGGTTTTTCAGTGACTTAAAAAACCTTTTCAATCATTAAGAACTCTGACATGTACAATTTTTTTTTGCACTTGTAAAATTTCGTAGAACAAGAAATTTCAAAGTGCTAAAAGTACACTGAACTTGAATTCCCTAATCTGTATCATAGTATTTTTCATTCTTTAAACTAAAATTATGCCAATTTTCTACAAACTAAATTTTACCAATTTGCTTCTACTAATTTTGCTGATTTGCTATAAAGTGTTTAAATGTGAGCCCTGTGGAGTTTAGCTATAGAAATTTGAGTCCTGAAGAAGTTTCACTATAGAAATTTGAGCCCTGAAAAGTTTCGCTATAGAAATGTGAGCCCTGAAAAGTTTCACTATAGAAAAAACAAAACTTACCCGTGCTTTATCGAGCTGGGCCAGGGCCTGTTTAGCGGTTTCACTGCGTATTGCTTCTACCTCCTCATCCAGGGAGACATCTGAGGACTGCTGGCTAAAGTTCGAATCTTGTGACCCCTGTAATATACAAATATACAACTTAACAATCATAAAATAAATCATTATCAGGCTAAATCAATATCTTAAATCAACTTTATTTCCTCGTTCAATCTGAACAAAACCATCCATTATTTGTTTGACTGGGTTTTGCCTAACACCGACATAGGTCATTTGAAGATGTTCCAGCTTTACTGGTGGAGGAAGACCTCAGGTGCCCTTCCGTGCATTATTTCAGGTACGAACGAAAAACCATCCATTATATTATTAAAGAAATAATTCAAAAAGTGCTGGATAATCTTGGTCTAAACTGGTTGCAATTGGGTAGATGTACAGTTGAAATGAGTAGACTAAAAGCTATCAATACTTGACAGACGGAAATGGGTCCTGTAATAGTTCAATGTACCCTACAGCAGATCAGTGACCTAGTTAAGTTTATGGACTCCACCTCTCAACCCAGGGACTGCTGAAATCAGAGATCTTAACCACTCAAGCAATGGAAGTCCAATCATGAACACATTTATAAATATTTCATAATTACTTTTAATATACCCCAGATGAAACTGCATTTTAGAAAAATTTTAGTATATATCAACATGTGTAATTCACAATAATCTGTGTTTTTTTCCTACTAAAATTCCACTTTTCTTATATACCTGTAGAGTCACACCAACATTACTGTTGGGGTCAAAGTAACAACAACAACAATGTAAGAAGTATTACGGTAAATGTTTTCCCGTAGACCTATTATTTTCTGCATTTTAAAATATTGCAAATTTTTTTTTTTTTTTTTAAATCTTACCAATGAATACTGATGAGCCAAGAATGGCGTTGTCTCCCCTTGACTGTCGTAATTATGATGAGCTGTTACCATAGTGACAGAATCTTTGTATATTTACTTCCAATTTCCAGAATGTCAACAAAATATTTTGTATCATTTAATATTATTCACTTTTCACATACAACAATTTTTTTGAAACCATTTTTTTTATAATTTCAAGTTTTTTTGGTTTTTATTTTAATCCATTTTTGGTGCCTTTAGTACAAGAAATGCATTCACAGTATGTTTATTTCATAGCAATATCAACTTTAATGTTGTTATCTATAATCATATAACACTTAAATTTCACTGTATTTGTCTAACAATCCAGGAAATCAATCACTTGCTTATTGTCATCGTATTTATTTAATGCTTTAAATCACAATCACAAACTTCAATAGCCAAGTATCAATCAAAATAACCTTTAAAAGTAAAAAAACAAAATCATAAAAATATGAAATCTTGTTATAAAACGAGATCAATTTCTACAAAACTGGAATTCGTAACAACTTGTCATATTAATCAATAGGTAAACAAAATCCTTGCATTTCCACCACAATCGTAATATCAAAATTCTGCAGAGATGGAAAATTCATACATAGCAACATGGAATAAATTGCCTCGGATAAAAATACCGAATTAATCGCCAATGCTGGAATACGTCCTAAATTATTCCTTAAGGAGAAGGCTAATAACATGCAAATACAGCAGTCGATCAGTCTAGAGCAATCCTCGTACATAACATCAGTTTCAGATTTAGACTTGACCTTTTATATGTTGTCCAATGCACTATAGATTCAACCTAACCAAAATAGTAACATTTCAACATTTCGTAATCTCGTCATAGGAATGGCAGCAAAACATTTACGCAAAATAGCTCGATGAATACAAAGATCTCTGGAAACCTTTCAAAAAAATGATAAAGGTCATTCAGAAAGAAACAAAAATGCAGTCTGTCTCTTACAATAGAGAAAACAGATAAAAGCCGACTTGTTGGTCACATTATATCCATTTAAATGCTAACAGAACTTTGTCAAAAAGCTTAAGGTAGATCAAATGGTATCTGACACTATATCAATGCAACAAAAATAATCACTCACAAAAACTTCATGACTTTTACTGTCTAAGACATCATTATTCCCTTACTATTCCTGACAACAACATAATCTGTTGAATAATATTCTTTGATCATGTTTAAAACAGACAAAAAATGTCATTGAATTGAACAACATCTAACAACAGGTGCCCTTGAAATTATCAAAATCTGAAAAGTGTCCTTGAAATTATCAAAATATAACTGACAACAACTATCCTTGAAATTGAAATGATCAAAATCTGACAAAAGCTATCATGGAAATTATCAAAATCAGACAAGTGTCTTGTGAGATTTTTATTATCTGACATGTACCCTTAAAATAAACATAACAAGACTAATTAGTGCCCTTGAAATTAATCAAATGTCAAAATATCAAAATCTGAAAATTGCTCATAATAATATCAAAATTTGACAAGTGCCAATTCATATGAACAAGAGTCCTTTAAACTATCAAAACCTGACAACAGTTGCCATGGATTAACTACAAAGTGTCCTTGAGATTAGAACTTCCTGACAAAAACTAATTTCCATGAAATTAGAATTACCTGACAAGTGACCATGACATTATTACTTCATGACAACAAGTGTCCTTGACATTAGAACTACCTTACAACAAACGACCTTGACACTAGTTACTGGTATTTTATCACTATCTGCCAACAAACAACATCCTATCTCTGACAATATACAACCAGCAAGCTCCAAAATTAGCTTTCCCTGACAACATTTCCTATAAACAGTTTATGCTTGTAACAACAACAAAACACCTTGTGAAGTCTTTGTTGCATGAGATCCCTTGGAATAAGGTTGCTAATTAAAATAATCCCAAGTACAACACTTTTTGACAATTGAAACACACATCTCAATTATTAAGAATCTGACAAATTTACTGACAACACTCAAATCTGATCCACTTCTAACTGATAATTATATACATCAAAATACAGGCGACTATTAAACTTACGAAAAATATTCAACCGTGACATACATTATACTTTTCAAATTCGTCTCAACACACAAATTTTAAACATTTCTTTTCGTTAAATAATTCATAAAATATATTTGAAAAATTTATTCAACATAATCCAAATGGCGTATATATTTATTCACTATAATAAGAAAGAATACACTTGACAATCGTCGCTGAGTATATATCTCTGTACAATTAAAGAATTTTCTAGTTTTATATTCAGTTGTCATAGTAATGATTTAAGATTTACTACTTTTGCTACAGCGATGTAAACTGATGTCACATTAAGTGATATATTTGTTTTGTATTTCAGACAAGTTACTATAGTTAGTATATACAACAAAAAATAGGCATATCTGTTGTCAATGTAGTAATATTGGTATTATTTTCCTTTTTCTGTTTGTGTTTTTTTGTTTTTGTTTGGTTTTATAGTGCACTGACACAGTTCCGGTCATATGGTGCCAAAACAGAAAAGATGATTTTAGCTAACCTTAAGTGTTACAAAGCAACATCAGGAGTCAAAATTATCTCCTCTGCTGAAGCTAAGAGATGCATAGACTCTAGAAATAAGAACCCATTTAGTCGCCTCTTATGATCACACAGGGTTAAACGGTGGCTACAATTCTGATACTTTAACCCATAAAGGCATCCCCTTAGCCACAAGGGGCTGTTTGTTTTTCAGCAACATACTGACCCTATTAAAAGGAAAAAAGCTAAATTTTGCTGTCTCTGAAATTTGTTTATTCTTGAGAAAAACCACAACGAAGAGGTTAAGAACCTAAATTAAAGGAAGACCTTAGGTGCCCCTCCTTGCATTATTATTTTAACCTCCAAGCCACAGACACCCTAAAACTCTCTCCCTCATTTTCTATGACCATTTGAACATGAAAACAATGTGACTGTATAGTTTTTGAAACCCTTTATGATCATTTAACAAACTTTCCACTTTAACCAGTGGTGGATAAATTAAGGCACAAAGTACAAGCTTGCACCTGGTAAAAATAGCTGACCATCTTTCAAATACCTGAATCGCTTAAGTAATTCCATAAAAAGTTTTGTAATCCCTGACAAGATTTGGACCTAAGTAGCAATCATGAGCGGCAAGCGATAGTAAATGTCAGCTATCTCAACGACTAAACCATACAGCGCCCTTGAACCCGTGTAAGCATTTTATTGAAATAATCCAGTTTTGCCAGAACTTTTTAAAATTGTATCAATAAATATTACAGAAATATAATAATAAAACAAACGTGTGGCAACAATTCACATCGCAGGTAATGATTGATATATCCGGCATTCAAAACCGTAAAATTTAATACAGACAATATAACTCATTTCCTAACAAGTCTAACATTAACTTATTGATTATTCTGGAAAATTGCTATGAAGTCTTCAAAAAAATTACATTTGTGTATGTTCCAATGGGAAATAACACTATTAAATGTTTAAGCGTTGCCATCAGTAACACCAGGTTACATCAATAAATAGTTTACTTAAACTCAGTCAGACAATTACATGCCAATCTACATATTCTATTGCTCAATATCCTAGGCTTCTACACACTGTTACTTTTTACCCTTACAGCCTCCTTATTTGTGTCAAAGATTTGTCAGACTTTGAAACTTGGAAATACTGACCAATCTGTAAACAAAGGTCATCCAAAAGAGAGACTAAACATAGTCTTTCCAGACAAGTGATCTTTATTTTGAGGCAATTTAGATGTATTTAATCAAAGAAGATTTGTTGAAGAGTTTGTCTTTATTCACAGGGTGGTCTTATTTGGAGGTGGTCTTTCACACAGGTTTGACTGTACTTGTTGTCAGTGTCAAGCTTGCAAGATGTAAAGAAAAAAACTTGAGAATCTTTTAGGTCCAACAGCATGACTGTTGTTTTATAACAACAGATTGGCTCAAATATGATGGTGACATCAAACCTTACTGTATCTTTATTATATAGATTCCATCCTCGTCATACCATCATCATCATCACCATCACCATCATCACATACATATTTATCATTATTATCACCATTGTCATCTTCATCATAATCACCACCACCACCATCATCATCACTACCATCATAATCATCATCATCATTGTCTTCTTCATCATCATCATCATCATCATCAACAACA